GACATCCTGCTGCACTACGAATCGAGCACATTTCCCCGCAGGCAGATCGGACAAGCGCACTCCGAAAATGGAGTGTATGTCCTAGATTTCGACATTCCCGACTGCAGCGGCGACTCGCACGAGTTGATTGATCTCGTGCCACTGCGCTTCGAGCACATCCACCGCAGGGATTGGAAGCACCCTGACGGCAGACCGAGGGTGCCGCATCATCCCCACCCACGCGAAACGGCGTTACACAACCCCGATCCAGATGGCATCTGCAGGGATTGTTACACGCCGACGACATCAACAAGCGCGATTGCCGGCCGCGGACTCGCCGCCATCGCTGAAGCAGAGCGCCACGCGCCCCCAGAGGAAGGGATGATGCAGCTCGAGCTTGAAGTTACCACCCACAGCATCTTCGGCACGCCAGAGCATCCCCTCATCGGTCCCCCCTCACAGCACCTTCAAGGCATGCTGCGCGGAACCGGCGTCGGCACCTTTGATGCCCATGGCGAGCCGCGACCCTACACCTACGAGAGGTTTTTGGCCATCTACTCTCATCGACGCGACTCATCGAAGAAACTCACCGCGGAGCAAGAGGAAGAATTGGCGCGCCGCGAAGCTGAGGAGCTTCGCCAGCAAAGCCTCGCAGAAGCACGTGGGACCTTCGCTTGCGCCACCTGGGGAGCTGAGGCTGAAGAAAGTGCCTCCAATGAAGGGGGGTGGGGGAGCGCTGGAGGATGGGGAACAAGTGACACTGGGGGCTGGGGAGACACCGGCGGAACCTGGGCCAACGCGAGCGGCGGATGGGGCGCCACAACTAGCGCCGACAATAGCGGCTGGGGTACTTTCCGCGAAGAACGAAAGGGGGGAGAGGACGAAACTGAGGAAACTGAGGCAACACCTGCAGTCGTTCCTCTTGGCCGTCCCCCGCGTCACATTCCACTCGCACCACCTCCTCCTGACAACCCCCCGCGTCGCGATCCATGGGACACCATCATCTGGGGCAACGAGCCGTCAACCCCGCGTCGCACCGTCTACGGACCTGCCCCTGAGCCACGCAAACCGGCGTTCGTACTTGCCACGATCCCCGGGACCAACATTCCGCTCTCTGAGATTCGTGACAGAGAGTTCTTGGCGCTGATACTGACCACCGCGCTGGAAGAAGAAGAAGCAGAGGGAGTAGCAGCAGAACCTGCTCCTGTACCTGACGAAGACCCTGAGGAAGCACGCGCACGCTACATACGCACCTCCGGCTTTCGCGCTGACGATACTCTCTGGCACCAGCGCCTCGGACACCCTTCACGTGCGACGCTGAAAAACTGCATCGACGCAGGCGTCTTCGCTCCTGGCGCACTCCTGCGCCCTGATGGCTCCGAAGTGAGAGGCGCGACACATCCGCGCAACTGCACCGTCTGCCCCGAAGCTGCGCTGAGCCACCAACCGTTCCCGCTGCTCGAACCTGGAATGAACCGCTACCCCAAGCTACACAAGGCGTACAGCGATTTCCTGAACGTGGGGCATTGCGGAGCCGAGGATGAAATGTACACGCTCACCTTCATCGACGCTGGAACGCGCTACGTGTGGGTCGTGAACGTGGAGTCACGCGACAGAGCCTACGAGGTGTTTCGCCTCTTGCTGGCGCACGCAGAGTGACAGTCTGGGAAGAAGTTGAAAATCTGGCAATCTGACGGCGCGGCAGAATTCAGGAGCAACCAGATGCAAACCTACCTCACGCAAAAGGGGATCGAGCACCATATTTCTCTCCCCTACGCGCACCAGCAGCAGGGCGTAGCTGAGCGAACGAACCGCACGCTAATAACGAAGGTGCGCGCGCTGATGAAGCAGTCGAAATTGCCGCCGATCTACTGGACCTACGCGATGCACCACGCAGTGCGGGTGCACAACCTACTCTTGACCACCGCCATCACCGGCAATCTGTCCCCGCACGTCAAATGGACCGGGACCAAAGGGGATACCTCCATGCTGCGCGTATGGGGGTGCATGGTTCAATACCGCCCGCCGACCTCAACCATCGGCAAATTCGCCAGCCGCGCTCGCTGAGGGATCCATCTCGGCATCAGTCATGAGTACAAGGCGTGGATCGTGCTGGACCTCCTCAGTCAGAAAATCGCTCACGCTCGCGACGTCATCTTCTACGAGCGCCTCTTCCTCGACCAGTTCCGCCGCGACGAAGAAACGAACGCGAACCGCGTCTACGCGAACGATGGGCACAGCTACGCAACGCCCGAAGACGAAGCCGCTGCAGCAATCTTGGAGCAAGACACGAGGGGCGAGTTCGTGTGGGAAGAACGACGCAGCAGCGACGACGACGACGACGATTCCTCGGGAGGAGGAATGGGCGCAGCAGGCGGAAGCGGAACAGGCGGAAGCGGCAGAGGCACAGCACCACCAGCGCCTCCTGAACCAGAAAGCGATGACGACGACGTACAGGAAGTCATCCCGCAACGTCGCCACGACAGCACTATCTCAGGACTGCAGCTGCTCGGGCTCCACACCGCAACTTCGAAGGCGCCACGTGTCATCGAGCCCCGAAATCCGCGCGAAGCTCTTTCTGGACCACACAGCAAGGAGTGGCGCGAAGCAATGAATGCGGAAATCCGGGCACTCGAGTCGCGCGACACCTGGGTGCTCGTCGACCGTGCAGCAGTAAAGGGGAGAAGGATTCTCTCCGGCAAATGGGTCTTCCGAGTGAAGACAGGAGCCGACGGAAGGATTGAGCGATTCAAGGCACGCTGGGTGGTACGCGGCTACGATCAAAGGCACGGGATCGATTTTGACCAGACATTTGCACCGGTCAGCCGTCACACGTCCGTCAGAATTCTCCTCGCCATCGCAGCCGCACGACACCTACCACTCCGGCAGATCGATGTGAAGAATGCGTTCCTGTACGCATTAGTGGACGCCGTGATCTACGTGGAACAGCCACACACTTACGGCGACGGAGACCCACGCGTCTGTCAGCTACGCAAGTCCCTCTATGGGATCAAACAGGCACCGAGACTCTGGCAGCAGTATCTGCACAACATACTGCTTGAAATCGGGTTCAAGCAGCTGCCTCACGATCCTGGAATGTATCGCCGCGATTTCCGCGGCGAATACATCCTCCTCACGGTCTACGTCGACGACCTTCTCTACACAGGCTCAAGCAACGAACTACTCGAGCAGTTTGAGAGAAGCCTCGCAGGGCGCGTCGACATCACCTGCAATCATGACGTGAAGCAGTTTCTCGGACTCAACATCACCTACTCGCCGGAAGCCATTCATCTCTCAGCAGCGAAGTATGCGGACGAGCTTAGCAAGCGCTTCAACATTGCGCCTGCACCACTCTCCACCCCTTACCGCACTCCAGGACCCAACCACAAGCCTGACAGCAAAGCCCTGTCCCCTGCTGGGCTTCACACTTACCAGCAGCAGTTGGGATGCCTGCTTTTCGCATCTGTTACCTGCAGGCCCGACCTCTCTTACATTGCGAGCCAGTTGGCTCAGTACTCACGCAAACCAACGGCTGAGAATCTCTCAGATCTTCAGCGAGCCCTTCAATTCTTCATCTCCACGCCCAATGTCGGGCTCAGTTATTCCACCATCCCAACCACATCCTTCAGTCTCGTCGGCTACGTGGATGCCGATCACGCCGCTGACCTTGACAATCGACGGTCCAGGACAGGGTTCCTCTTCCGCCTCGAGCCCAGCGGCCCCATCTCCTGGAACTCTCAGAAGCAGGAGTTGGTTGCCCTGACATCGGCGGAAGCTGAATTTATCGCAGCAACAGCAGCTGTTCGCGAAGGTCTCTACCTTCAGGAACTGCTGCAGGAAGCAAAAATTCCGGCCTCAACGAACTTTCGCCTGCACTGCGACAACCAGAGCGCGATTCGCATCGCGAACAAACCTGGTTTCGTCAACCGCACCAAGCACATTGCGCTGCGGTACTTCTTCGTGAAGGATGAGGTGGACAAGGGCAAGGTCAACTTGACCTACTGCCCGACCGGTGACATGGCAGCAGACTTCCTCACGAAGCGACTGCCACGCCAGCAGTATCAGCACTGCTCCGAACTCAGCGGCGTGGTCAAGCAGGTCAAGTCGAGCTGCGGCCAGGAGTGAAGGGGGGTGTTACGAATAGTAATACTTGAATGTTACTGTGCACTCCTCACCGCAGCAAAGAGAAGCACGCAGTATCGCGAATGAACGCGAAGCGTCAGACGGTTGGAAACGACCCGAAGCGTCAGACAGTTGGGACACATCTGAACCGTCGGAGCAGACAGCATCAGGCAGCTGCAAGCAGGATGGTTTCGGCGGGAACAGTTTCGTAACTGTTCGCGCCGCACAGTTGGGAATGTATTTGAATAAGGGAATGTACCCCTTAGAGTACATGGCTAGCTAGGTCGATTCATATTCCCCTGTACTCTTATTTATATCGTTGTATCTGCATGTCTTAACCATCTCAAGCATTTACATTCACTCTGCTATTGAGGTCAAGGGCCCACCAACATCACTTCTCTGCGTGCGAACTTTCCTGAGTAGATCCTAGGCCACGATCAACTTCTGATCTCAGCACACACCATCACACCAATTCCAGCCTGGTTCAGTGGCATTCTGCATTCTGCAACAGCCCATGGAGTGGAGTGCCCATCGCTTCATGCTCAAACTGACTAGTTCAAACTTTACTGGGTCATTTTCAAGATTAACCATAATCAACAAACGCTCTGCAACATTCCTTTCCTGGAAATTCGTGGCGCTTCCTCCTCCTTCCTCCAATCCCTCGTGTGCCTGTCTTCAATCCACCTGCCATCAAATCATTCCCAACCCCCACCCCTCACACGTTTCTTCCTTCATCTACCTCCTCTCTTGAATCTTGGGCCATCTCAAAGACCTCCCCCACTCTCACTCCACCCCTCCCATTCCCTGCCACAACCCTCCCATCTTTTCCAGTCCTTTATCTCAATCCCATACCTTAATAAAAACATCTGCTTGCTCCTCTTCCGTTCCTCCTCCTCCTCTTACTGCTCCTCACCACCTGTGCTTTTCTTCTGCTTCTTTCTCTTCTTCCCCTCCTCCTCCTGACCCCCCCCTTTCTTCTCCTTCAGCTTCTGTTTCCCTTTCACTTGCTCCTCCGCCTGCTCACTCTGCTTCTCCTTCTCCTCCTCCCTCTCCTCCTTCACCTCCTTCCCATCTGCTTCCCCAACCTGCTTCCGCTTACCCTTCCCTCCCTTCCCCCTCTTCCCACCCTTTCCCCCTCGCTTCTCTCCATCCCCATCCATATCCTCTCCAACCTCCGCTACCTCCTCCACACCCTCCTCCTCAACCCCAGTCCCCTTCCCTCCCTTCACACGCCCCAAAACCACATTCACTCCCTCTCGCAAACTCCCCGCCCTCCCCTCCCTCACAGCCTCTACAGCTGCCACCAGCCGCTGCAACTGTGCAATCACCTGCCTGGTCCTCCCCTTCCCTTTTACCCGCTGCACCGACGCAGGTTCGGCCGAAGCTGCCTTCAGCCCCTCAACATCCAAGGCCTGGAGGAGCTTCGGAGGAGCACCCGAGCCTTCACTCCCAACCCTCTCGCTGCCGTTTGGAACCTTCTTAGAAGATTCTTCGTCCGCCTTGAGAGCAGCTGCTGCTAGGAACTCGTCTGCATGGCCTACAGACCGCAGCAGAGCACAGCAGAAATCAAGTCCCAACTCCCACCGCTCTAACTTCCCATACTCATGCTTTAGGGTTTCGATCAGCAGTTTCCCCACCACCCCCTTTTCTACCTGCCCGGATAGCACCTCCGCGGCCCCCTCGGGCAGCGGAAAACGGTTCAGGAACGGCGTGACGAGTTTTATCGCAGCTGCCCGGACGAACTCCGACCTGCCCGAGCCACACTTTCTGAAAAAGTACGGAATGAGAGCGGAAAACATTCCGGGAAAGCGAGCGAGAGTGTCGCGGATAAAGGTCAGAGGGAGAGGGCAATCCCGAGAATCAAGGATTCGGGAAATGGCCGAAGAAAAGGCGTCTAGAACGGATGAATCGATCAAAGATGCCTTGAACGCATTCCCCTGCTTCCCCTGCTGCTTCTTCCCCCGCTGCTGCTGTTGCTGAGGCTTGGCGTTTTTCTCCTGATCGCGATTAGAAATCGCTTCCTGCTGGGACTTAGCTAAGAGCCGCGCCTGGATGACGTGGCAGAGCCACATGGCACAATCTCCCGCGACGAGCGCCAGGTGCCGGATGGAGGTTCGCCGGGTGGCCTCTGCGAAACACTCCTGCATGGCCGCCCGGGCGGCAAGCAGAATAGCCTCATCCTCTCTCTCCTGCTGCCGCTCCTGCTGCCTTTCGATTGCTATCCTCCTCATCTCCTCCTCCCCCTCCTCTTCCTCCTCTTCCTGACCAGCAGCAGCACCCTTCCCTCCCCCCTTCCCCCCTCCTCCCTTCCCTCCTCCTCCCTTCCCTCCTCCTTTCCCTGCTCCTCCCCCCACAACCACCACAGCACCAACCACCCGCCTCTCCAGCATCCTCTCAACCCTCACCAGCACAGCATCATGCCCGGTGCCCCCCCTCCCCTCGCCGCCTCCCCCGCCCTTCCCGCCCTTCAAGCTGCCTTTCGCCGCATAGTTCCCCGCTGCCGCCTTCAGCAGCCGCGGCACCACCGCAAGCACCAGCGGATCGCACGAAAGAGGCTTCCTGCCTTCTAACGAGTGAGGCTCTTCAAACGAGAGGGAGCGTGCGTGGGAGTAAGCACTGGGAGCGTGTGCGAGCCACGTGTCAAGGAGCGACAAGGCGCGCAGGCGGAAGTGCTCTCCCAGCAAGATGCTCTGCCGGCGTTTGCGGCGAGTCTCTGCCTCCACTTTCTGCCGAACAATGTCGGCCAGGTGCTGGTCGATTCGGAACATGGCCGCATCGTCCATCAACTCCTCATTGTCACTGTCGCTCATGCTGCCGTTGGGGTTACCGATGCTGTTTTCGTTCGCTTCCTTGATAGCTTTTCTTAACGCAGCGTCCTCCTCGTCGTCCTCCTCCTCTTCCTCCTCCTCTTCCTCATCTTCACTGCCTTCTTCACCTTCCGACCCTTCCTCTCCACTCTCCTCCTCTTCCTCTTCCTCCTCCTCCTCCCCTTCCAGCACCTCCTCTCTCTTCTTGCTCCTAGGATTCGTTACAACCACCTCCATTATAGTCTCAAGGGCCTCGGCAGTCAGATCGTTGCAGAAGGCGCTAAAGACACCCTCCGCCGCCCCTCTCAGAAGAGAGGATTCCTGCGCCAGTAAGGACAAAACTACATCCACCAATGACAGCATCACATCCTTTGTCTTTTCCTCCTCCTCCTCTTCCTCCTCCTCCTCCTCCTCCTCCTCCTCCTCTTCCTCCTCACTCTCCTCACTCTCCTCACCATCTACCACCCTCTTTCCTCTCCCCTTCCCTCCCAAACTTCCATTCGCGCCAGCCTTCCCTCCCTTGGGAATCAACCAACCAGAGGCCGCCAGCTGGCGCGCAATGGCAGTGACGTCAGCAGCAGCTTCCAGAAGAACATCCACGTCACCACCACCGGCAACAGCACCACCGGCAACAGCACCACCGGCAACAGCACCACCGGCACCAGCAGCACCAGCAGGAGGAGAAGCAGCACCCTCCTCCTCCTCCTCTTCCTCCTTCTCCTCATCCTCATCCCCACTACCTTCACTCTCTTTCGCCTTCTGAACCCCCCCATCCCCACCCGCACCAGCCTCTGCAACAGCCTCGGCGGCAGCTTCGGCAGCAGCTTCGGCGGAGGTTTGGATGCGAATGCAGAGCAGGAGCGTCCCTAGGAGCACGCCAACTGCCTTCCTCCGAGCTTCAAGCAGAGGAGACGCAAAAGCAGGGACTGGCAGGGTCGCTTGATTGGCACTTTCAGCGCCCTCCTCTTTCACTTGAGTGACAAGCTTGAGTGACTGTTGAGTCGACCCAAAAGCCAGTTCAGCCCGCTCCTCTTTCGCTTGAGCAACGAGCTTGAGTGTTTGTTTCAACCCTCTTGCAACTGCCTCCACATCCTCCCCTTCTTCCTCCTCCTCTTTCTCACTCCCCTCCTCTTTCCCATCAACCTCCATCGTTCCATTCTCGACACCCGCTCTCCTCCTCCCTTCCATCCACCCCTCACCCTCCCATGCTAGCTGCTCGACCACCCACAATCCCGCTCCCTTTATACTCACGCCTTCAGTGCCCTTCCCCTCCTTCCCTTCCTTCCCTCCCTCCCTTTCGCTCCCCTCTCTCCCGGCCCCCAAAGCCCTCTCCACCTCTCTCCCCTCAGGGCTCTTAACGAAATAGTCCAGCTGCTTGAAAAGAGCTTCTAACGAGGATAAGAACCGGGACCGGCAAGCAGCCAGCACACCTCCAGACACGACAGGGGAGAAAGAGAGAGGCCGAGCCTCTGACTCCAGCCCTCGTGACTTTTCAGTCGACTCAAAAGAGAGAGCCCCTGACTCTGACTCTCGCCCCTGCTGCCCCTGCTGCCCCTGCTCGTCCTGCTGCTTCTCGTTCCGCTTTCCCTCTTTGCTCCCTTTCTTCCCTTTCTTTCCCTTCCTCCGAGTTTCCTCCTCCTCCTCTCCTCCTACGACTGTCGCCAACCCCCCACCGTTTTCAGCCTGAATTTCGCCGCCCTTTAATATGACTCTCATAATGAATCCTAGAATCACCTTCCTTAGAGTCACATGCTCCCACACTGCCTTCACTGCCTCGTCTGCTTCCCTCCTCCTCCTCTCCTCCTCTTCTCTCACCTCCACTCCCTCCCTTTCCTTCCCCTCCTCTTCTCCTGCACCATCCGCCGTTTTAGCAGCATCAGCGTTCAAAACACTCTTCTTCTTCAGCTGCTTAAGCGTTTTCCTTAGGCTAAGCGCCGGTTTGGGAACTGGTTTTGATACCAGCCTACACATCTGATCCAGCGCCCAAAACCGCCATTTCTCCGCTTCTGCCTCTCGCTCCCACTCCTTCTCCCCTCCTCCTTTCTCCTCCCCAACCGCACTCCCCCACTTCCCTTCCTTCCCCTTCTTCCCCTCCTTCCCTCCTCTCCCTCCCCTCCCGTCCCCGCCTCTCCCCGTCTCCCTCACCTCTCCCCCTAAACCCACAAACTCCCCGGGGCGGGCAAACACAGACTGCAGAAACCCGTAATACGCCCTCTCCCCCTCAACCCCTGCAATCCCCGCTGCAAGCAAGCGAACAGCATTGCTGCGTGTGACTGTATCGAACTGCCCTTTAGAGTGCTGCTGCAGGGTGGTCAGGATAGCAAGCCTTGCTGCTGCTGATTCCATTTCTGCTGCTGCCGCTGCTGCTGGTGATGCCGCTGATTTTGCTGCCTTGATTTTCCCCCCTTCCGCCTCCTTCCCTTCATTCCCCTGCTTGCCCTCTATTCCCCCTCCCCGCCCTCCCCCGTCCTCCCCCTCCTCCCCCTCCCCTTCCCCTCCTTCCCCCACTTCCCCCAAGGTGGGCCATCGCTGAATCAGCGCGACGCAGCGCTGACTCAGCGGGAACAGGTGCGCCCTGCTCCCCGCCCCCAGCGCGTCCATTAAGCAGCGCGTGATTGGTCGAGAGAGGATGACGTGGGCCGTGGTGGTGGGAGGGAGGCGCGGGATTAGGAGCAGCAAGAGATTAATAGCCAAATACCTCCTTTCGTGAGAGGAAGGGATTAGTCCCCTGTCTACTATTATAGACCAGAAAGTCGAAAGGGCTGAGGAGGGGAGGGGAGAGGAGGAGGAAGAGGAGGGTTTGGAGAAAGCGGGGGAGAGAAATGGGAGGGACGCGAGCAGGGAAGAGGGGGAGGAGGAGGAGGGGGGAGAGAGAGAGGGGAGAGGGAGAGAGGGGAGGGGGAGTGAGAAGAGGCGGTCTAGAAGCAACGCCCACACGGCATGCAGGCGTGGGTGGGAGGAGGAACTATTTTGCAGCACGGGCAGCAGCTTCTCCAGATGGGCGGCGCTGAAAAAATCTTCTGCCCGACCGGACTGCGGCAGCAGAGGGCAAAGCTCCAGCAGCGTGCGCAGAAATGTGTTTCCGCTGCCCGTCTCCGCCCCTGCTCCAGCAGCATATTTCCGCCCTTTGGCCCCCTTTTTCCCCGATTTTTTTCCTGCCCCTCTTTCTCCTTCCTCTCCTCCGTCCTCTCCTCCCTCCCCTCCCCCTACCCCTGCTTCCCCCAGCTGCCACAGCTTGAGCGCCAGGTGCAGGGCCTCGGGGGAAGAATCGGAGGGGTCTTGAGAGAGGAAAGCGGTAATGGGTGGCAGGGCGAGGATTCGCGGGAGGGAGGAGGCCGGAAGCTGCAGACACAAAAGGGAACGGGAAGGAGAAGGAATGAGAAGGAAGAAGGATCACAGCTTGAGCGCCAGGTGCAGGGCCTCGGAGGAAGACTCGGAGGGGTCTTGAGAGAGGAAGGCTAAAATGGGTGGCAGGGCGAGTATGCGTGGAAGGGAAGACGAGGGCAGCTGCACACATAGAGGAATCGGACGAGGAAGGGAGAGGGGAAAAAAGGGACCAGGTTAATCAAGACGACTCTTGTGGCGCCTTAAAAAAGGACCAAAATAATCAAGAGGTCACAGGGGATCCTGGAAACCTGGGCGTTCCCTGCCCTCTCTCCTCCCCTGCCTCCCCAAGCTGCCATAGCTTGAGCGCGGGGTGTAGAGCTTCGGGGGAGGAGTGGGCGGGGTCCTGAGAGAGGAAGGCGGAAATGGGTGGCAGGGCGAGGATGCGTGGGACGGAGGAGGGGGGGAGCTGCGCACACAGAGGGGAAAAGGTGAGGGGAAGGGAAGGGGTTGGGAAGGGGATGGGAAGGGGATGGGAAGGGGATGGGAAGGGGGGGGAGTAGGTTAGGGGGAATGGGATGGGAAAATGGACAGCAGGCTCCGGGGAGAAACGACCGATGCTCTCCAACCCTCAAAACCTGAGATACCACGCTCCCCCGGTAACCGCCCTCTTGAGACAGCACAAACTCGACTCAATACAGTCACCTGTGATACAAGAGCCACCAGCAGCACAGTAGCAGGCTCAGAAAACCCGCCTACCTACCCTGGGAGGACACAGTTCTCAATACAATCACTTCTAGTACAGTCACGCTGAATATAATCACCAGCTCGTATAGTCACCTGCTCGTTTAAAGACACCTGGTCGTTTAGTAAGTTATCATAGATAACTGATGTATCGATTATCTCTTCACCTGTGCTCATTGTAGTCACCTGCTCGCTACAGTCACCTGCTCGTTACAGTCAACTTCTCGTTACAGTCACCTTCTCGTTACAGTCACCCTCTCGTTACAGTCACTCTCTCGTTACAGTCACTTTCTCGTTACAGTCACTTTCTCGTTACAGTCACCTTCTCGTTACAGTCACCTTCTCGTTACAGTCACCTTCGTTAAGGTCACCTTTCCATAAGTCACCTTTTCGTTGCAGTCAACTTCTCGTTACAGTCACCTTTTCGTTACAGTCACCTGCTCGTTACAGTCACCTGCTCGTTACAGTCACCTACTCGTTACAGTCACCTGCTCGTTACAATCACCTCCTCGTTACAGATACCTCCTCGTTACAGTCACCTGCTCGTTACAGTCACCTGCTCGTTACAGTTACCTCCTCGTTTAAGTCACCTGCTCGTTACACTCACCTGTTCGTTACAGTCACCTGCTCGTTACAGTTACCTGCTCGTTACAGTTGTTACCTGCTCGTTAAAGTCACCTGTTCGTTACAGTCACCTGCTCGTTACAGTCACCCTCTCGTTCACAGCAGTTATAGGCACCTGCCCGTTAGTCACCTGCCCATTATAATCACTTGCCCGTTATAATCACTTGCCCGTTGTAAACCTACCCGTTATAAACACCTGCCCATTGTACTCACCTGCGAAATCAGTGCCACCAGCAGCACCGTTGCAGGCTCGGCAAGGAAAGACCGTTGCTCGCCGACCCTCAGGAGCTGAGATACAACCTCCCCCGGTAACCACCCCCCCCTCCCCACCACCCACCCCGTCTCCCCCCCTCCTGCTGCCGCTGCTGCTGGCTTTTCGGTTGTGGAGGAAAGGGAGGAAGGAGATGCAAGAAGGCCGCTCCGGATGAGAGAGCCGAGGGCGAACATGCGACCAAAGAGGGCTTCAGAGGCGTCCTGAGGGAAGGGGGTTTTGGGGAAGAAGGGGAGGGGAGAGAATTTGAGGGGAGTGAGAGGGCTGCTGCTGATGAGAGCACCCACGGCGAACATGCGCCCAAAAAGGGCCTCAGAGGCGACCTGATGTGTTGGGGAGAGAAAGGGGAGACGAGAGAGGGAGACGGGAGAGAGGGGAGGTGGGAGGTGAGAAGGCTGCAAGGGGAGGCGAGCAGGCTGCTCCTGATGAGAGGTGAGCACCGAGGGCGAACATGCACCGAGGGCGAACATGCACCAAAAAAGGGGCTCAGAGGCGACCCGGGGGAGGAACCAGTGGGAGGGGGAAAAGGGAGAGTTGGGAAAGCCGCTTAGGAGGCGAGCAAAGCGGTCCTGATAAGAGCACCGAGAGCAAACATGCGACCAAAGAGCGCTTCAGATGCGACCTGGGGGAGATCAGGGGTAGGGGGGAGAAAAGGGAGGAGCGGTTGGGAAGGGGAGGCATGCAGGCCGCTCCTGATGGGAGCACCGAGAGCAGAGACAGACAGGAGTGCTGGTCTCATAGACTCTTGTATGTACTCCATCCATCTCCATTCACGTGTTGCTCAGCATAAAAACGCTTACGGCATTAGAATCCTTCCCTCAAAGGAACAAGCAGGTACTTTTTCGGCGCCTCTTCATGGTTCTCCCATTATCATGTTTGTGTGTGTGAGTGTAGTTTTTATAACTAATTGATTAAATCATTCATCGGAGATTTTAGACGCTTCGTCGTTAAAAAACAAAAAACAAACCGACCAACAAAGGAACAACGTCAAATACTGTTTCACCTTCCCCCCCGCCCTCCCCCATTTTTTTTTTACCTGGCGTAATGCTAAACTTATCTGAAAAATAAAAGATTCATACACCTTGCATACGCGTTAACAACATAACCCCGAGCTCACCTTTCCCCAGGCGTTATTGGGGAGAGGGATGAGCAACGGAATCGCGGCAGCAATAGCAGGCAGGTTTGGTATTAAGTCGACTCAACCGTAACAATCAGCGACAAAGGCTCACCTTTCCCCGGGCGTTGTTGGGGAGAGGAATGAGCAACGGAATAGCAGCCGCAATGGCCGGCAGGTGTGAGTGCAGAGAGGGCAGCGCGCGGAGGCAGGCGGCGAGGGCCACGGAGTAACCTTGCCTTGCGCCCTGGTGGGGGCGAGTGGGGGAGGAGAGGGGGAGGACGGGGGCAGGGGCAGGGGCAGGGGCAGGGAAGGAGATCAGAGTGGTATAAGCGGAAGCGGCGCGCGGAGGCAGGCAGCGAGAGCAACCGAGTAGACCTGCCTTGCGCTCTGGTGGGGGGAGGGGGAAGAAGGCGGGGGCCAGGGGTGGAGAGGGGTGGAGAGGGGAAAGAGATCGGGATAGTTTAATAGCAGCAGCGATCGCGGGCGGGTGAGGGCGCAGAGAGGACAGCAGCGCGCAGAGGCAAGCGTCAAGGGCCACGGGGCGACTCTGCGGAACGAATGCGCGGAACGACTGCGCGGAACGACCCCGCGGAACGATTCACAGTTAATGTCTCGAGCCAACTCAAGTCGTCTCATAAGCTTACCCCGCGGGACGACTCAAGGCCTCTGATCAACCTCTTCACGGCGTACGTAATCTCGTCGCAACACCCCTCCAGCTTTAAAACACCCTTCGTCTCTTCGCCCTCCTCCTCTTCTTCCATTTCATCCTCTTCATCCTCCTCCTCTTCGTCCTCTTCCCCACTCTCCTCTTCGTCCTCTGTCTCCTCGTCACTCGCCTCCTCTTCCTCCTCACTCTCGTTTTCCTCCTCTTCCGAACTCTCATCCTCTGAACCCTTCTTAAGCCCTGAACCCTCTGTCGTCCCATTTCCGCTAGAGTTTTTCACATTTCCCCCGTCCTTCTTCCCAGCACCCTTCTTCCCCCCTCCTTGCGCGCGGAGGTACGCCTTTTGCGCCGTCGTCAACTCCAAAACCAATGCTACCGCCGCCGTTTCTCGCGGCCCGCGTCTCACGGAGGCCAAATGCCAGTAGATCTGCAGCCCCGCCGGCTTCGTCTTCCGCCGCTTCTTCGAAGCTTCCCGGACGGCTTTCGCGGGCGGCGCTCCCTGCTGCTGCTTCGACGGCACAAGAATATCTTGCGCCTCCGCGCCGAGATTCGCGGCGGCTACTGCGAAGGAGATCGCGCGGCGGCGGCGGTCGCGGGCGTTGCGCTTCTCGCGCTTCGCCTTTTTGCGGGTCTCGATCTTGTTGAGGCGGCTCGTCGACGCCTTGTGCTTCGCCATGGCGACTGGCTGATGGCGACGATGCGACGACGACGATTCTAATAACTACGGAAACAAGGATCAGACAAGGAAACAAATAAAGGGCGACCCGCAATGAAGGGGCGAAGAAGGGTTTTGGTAGGCGAAGAAAAGGATTTGATGGTGGTGGCACCAGTGGTGCAGTGGTGGTGCGTGGGTGTGTGCTTGGCTTATAAGAGCGTGTTAGGTACCCCTTATTTTGGTGGCAGGGCCCGGTTGCCTGTAAAAGTGGACCGAACCTGACTGGTCGGGTCGACCAGTGGGCGGTTGGGTCCCTCCCAGCAGGCAACCTGCATTTGTACCACCCGCTTGTTTTCGGGAGCCACCATGCAAATAGTATTTGGGGCAGACCCAACACTCATTCCGCCAATGTTCTGCATTCAATTCTTGATCTTTGCTTTCTTCCACCAATCGTATCGACATTTGATTGTGTGACCTGCCCAGAAAATGTTTTCTGTATCACTGGTTGCGCTGCATGTTGGTACGTTCGAGGCTGGTTGCCTCGACTCGATTGTACGTGGGCGCGACCAACTGGTCGCTTATCCACCTGGTTGCCTCGACCATGTGTGAGAAGCTCTGGTACACACGTACAATACTGTACATTGTCCAGACCCTGGTAATCTGGTAACCCTACTGGTCTACCAAACCCGACCGTTTGAGGCAACCCGACCAGTCCCCAAAAAGAGGGGTACGTAGCAAGCTCTAAGGGGGTGTCTCAGATGTCTGAGTCCACGTGGGTACGGCTCGGACCTGACGGACCAGCTCAAGAACCAGCGCGTGAACCTGGGCGGACCGGGACCAGGATGTGGGGCTTGTAACCCCGTAATACCGTTCGAATGGCACTAAAACGGTGCCATTTATTTGGCCCTCCAGACCAGTCCGCGCCTGGTCCGTAAACAGTGGGTGGGGAAACATTTGTTTTGGCGAAATTTCTTGTTTTGTAAGTGTCGCGCGAGATTTTTGTGCAGACGAAGAAAATGGGTAACTCAATTTCAAATACTGTGCAGCCCGAAGCACGACGCATCAGGCAGACCAGTCCGTGTCTGGTCCAACGCTGGTCCGCCAAGTGGGTCCGTCGGACCAGAACCCCGGACCAGGCCTATAGATTCTGGTCGCGGACCAGATCCAGCGGACCCTCCACATGAGACACGTCCTAAGAAGCCCCCGCAGCGAGGGATTTAGGGCCTGGTAGATCGTTTCAGTAATATGAGATGCGATCGAATGCGGTACGAGATTGCTAGTGATGACTGAAAACAAAGATTTCGGACAGCATGTGGCATCTGATTCTTTAGAATGAGCCTAATAATACTCATGCAAATCCTAGGGGCTTTGATTACACAAAACAGTTTCCATGTGGAGAAACCAGCCTAAATTGATGTGCCAAATAAGTCGCAAATAACTGGTAAAAAAAAAAACACCTTGATTTGTGAAGACGGTAGTTCTTCAAACCCCAGAACCCTACATGTGCAAGATAAACGCCTGAAATATCTGAAGTTGATTGATTAATCACAAAACAGTTTCCATGTGGAGAAACCAGCCTAAATTGATGTGCCAAATAAGTCGCAAATAACTGGTAAAAAAAAACACCTTAATTTGTGAAGACGGTAGTTCTTCACCCCAGAACCCTACATGTGCAAGCTAAACGCCTGAAATATCTGAAGTTGATTGATTAATCTACTTTCCAAATAACCACTTTCTCTTGTATTGTCCGCCGGCTTTTGTGTTGATCATGACCAAAACCTGATGGATACAGAGAGGGAATGCACATGGAGGGGTGCAAACGCAGATAACAAACATGAGAACGTAAAGAGCTGGAAAATAAACATGCAGTGAAACCAGCATAAATACATTGTACTGTAGCACACTTTGCTTGCATGTATGTGCTTGTCCAAAGAGGAGACAGGGAATGGCAAAATGAGAGCAGCAAGCGGTCAGAAGAGTAAAAGAAGGGGTTGTATGGCATGGGTCAGGAAAGCTCTCCACCCTCATCGGACCTCACGCCCATCACCATCACCATCACCATCACCATCACCATCATCACCATAACTACACAATCTTACCTTCTCTTATTTTTATCTGTCAGAATGAGGATGTGTACGACATTACCCTCTTTCAAATAATAATGAACTAATTTTTGCAGCCAGCAAGCGCCTGAAAGGAAGGGGAGCAATCCTCCGGACCTCCTCCAACCTAGCAGCACAGCACATGCTGACCACCCTGCGGTAAGCTGGGGATCTCACCCTGCAGCCAGCAAGCCCCTGAGAGGAATGCAGCGATTCCTCCCGCTTGTCAAATCTCCGCACCCCTTCCAACCCAGCATCACCCTGCTGATCTCGCATAAAGAACATGAGCAGGAAACCTCACCTTGCAGCCAGCAAGCTCCTGAGAGGAGGGCAGCGACTCTTCCCGCACGCCAATCCACTTGTCAACCCTCCGCACCCCTCCCAACCCCTCCACAGCCGCGCCCACGCACGCCTTCCCTCCCCTCCAAAACACCGCGTTCAGAAAATCGATAAGCAGCAGCCGGCGTACAGTAATGTTTGTTACAGGCTTGATGCTTATATCAAAGAAGCATGAGGAGGGGCTCCAAGAGAGTGTGACTATAGCAGAGAGGAGCGAACCAATGAGACAGGAGGAGGGGTCGGATTGGAATGCGTCCTCAGTTGGAGGTGTAGATGTTGTGGTGCTTGTAGCGTGCAATATGCCCTTGCTTATAAGGCGTACAAGGGAATTGGAACGAGAGGGAGGGACAATCTGAGAGTGGGGGGTAGAAAAAGGAGAAGCAACACATATGGGAGGGAAGTTACACTTCTGGTTAATGTTAATGCCCTTACAGGAGGGAGACACAACCAGGAGCAGAGGAAGGAAAAAAAAAAGTACTCGCAGGTCCGAAGGCATATATTTGTGATCTTAATCATTTATGTATCTTCTGCTAAATCGAATCTGCACTTCATATAACTATTGAGAAGTCGAGCACGAGGGCAATAGCATGTGGGCTGATTGCAGAAGGGAAAGAATGCTGGCAGGATGGAGAGGTGGTGCACTTACAAAGACAAGAGATACGATTGTGTGATGTTTTGATTTTTCAGTTTTCATCACTAAAATGTCCTATTGGCACCTCTTTCACACGTTGTACACGTTATGAACCCTAGTCTCAGGCATCCTCGTTAGAGGCACTTCTCACCTGTTCCAGCAGCACTGTACACTTCTCGTGCACACCAGCCAGAATATCCGCCCTTGAAACCCGTCCCGTTTTAAGCAGCATCTCTAGCTGTTTTATAGCCTTCTCACACTGTTCCCCACTCCCTCCGCTAAAACCACTTCCACTGCCGCTGCTGCTGCTGCCACTGACCGTTACGGTGCCACGTGTCAGCCCCTGAATGGCTGATCTGACAGCCATAAGACCAGTAGGAGCAGCATCAGGGTAAACAGCAACCATGGGAATACCCCTCCCATGTCCCCCTACTGCCGCTCCCCACACTCCCACTCCCCCTCCCCCCATTCCCCCTGCGCCCATCCCCCCTGCCCCCATTCCCCCTCCCGCTCCCCCTCCCCCTGACCTTCTGAACGGCAGGGGGGCAGCGGGCATGGCGCCAGGCATGGGGGGAACGAGCTGGATGGGGGGAGGGGCGGAGGGGGCAAGGGCTAGGGCTAGGCGGCTGGGAGGGTATTCCTCTGCTTGCGGTGCTGCTGCTGCTGCTGTCACTGATGGCGGTGGTGGGATGTACGATACAAGGGCCTGTAGAAAAGGCATTGGGTGGGGAAAAGAGAAGGGATGGGGAGAAAGGGTAGTTGTTTCAGAAAAAAAAATCATCCGCTGCTGCTGCTGCTGCCACTGATGGTGGTGGTGGAATGTAGGATACGAGGGCCTGTACAGTAGGCATTATGTGGGAAGAAGAGAAGGGATACAGGGACGGGGAAGTGGTTGTGTTTTAGAAAAATACCAAGAGGAGTTTGTAAATTTGTTATTCTTGGGTGGTAGGTAATAAATGAGATTTTATTGTAGGAATACACATTCTATCCAAAAGTAATGGTAGGAGTAATCTACCTTCCCTTACGTTAAATACGTGTAGTGAGATTTCCTTTGATCTTCAAACGGCCTTGAATGTGTCATATCAGATTCAGAGGTAGAATAAAACAGCTCACCTGACTGTAGTGAGACACGTTCGGCCTTTCAAACGGATTAGCAGGCATCGCTTTCATTGGCCCCACTCCCCCATTCCCGCCCATTCCGCCTGTCCTTCCTCCGCCCGCTCCCCCGCTCCGCGCGCCCTCTACTCCACCCACGCTCCCCGCAACAGATGCCGCGGGCACAAGAGAAATGCTCGAAGCGGATTGGACAACAGGAAGCGGCATGGACCCGACGCGGCTGACCTGCGGCCCCACCACTTGCACCGCACCAAATGGCGCCGGTTGCGGCGCCGGCTGTGGCGCCGGTTGCGGCGAGAAGTGCGGAGCGGCAAACGCGGCTTTGTACAAGTTTGGAACCCTCGGTTCTGGCCGAACGGACGGCTGCGGTGAGCTGGTGAGGATGTACGGTCGCGATGAGGGCTGCTGCGAGAAGGAACTAGAGCGAGTGTCCCCGCTAAGAGCTAACCCGCTAAACGCGCTAGTCGCCGCGCTATTGACGGGCTGGGAAGACGCGTGGAGCGACTGCGATCGCTGGACGCGCGGAGCGACATCTCGAGAAATGTGTGCGGCTGAGGCGGAGGCGGAGGCTGAGGCGGAGACGGAAGCGGAGGCGGAAATCGGGGGGGGATTGACCCGCTGCTGCGCTTGGGCGCGTGCATCTGCAGTTGCGATCTCCTCTTGATCGACGGTCAGGATCTCATGCGGAGGCGGCGCGGGTATCACATCTTTGGGGACATCTAATGGGGCCGGCGGCGCGCGGTAGCAGGAGCTTACCGCCGAGCTCACCACCGGGTTCTTAACTACGTCCTTAGAGACATCGACAGTGGGAGGCGGTTTTTGAGTCGACTCAAAATTCGGCGGCGCGCGGTAGCAGGAGCTTACCGCCGGGTGGAAAGCGGCTGGCGGTAAGAGCGGGTTCTTAATTACGTCCTTAGAGACGTCGAGCGTGGAAGGCGGCGGGCGGTACGCGGCACGAGACGCGGACGCTTGTAGATGATTGGCTGCCGCCACATGCGGAACCGCGTTTTCAGGAACGCTGGAAGAGTGAGGAGGAGCAGGAGCAGCTAAAGGAGCGGAAGGAGTTGAAGCAGCGGGAGGAGCAGGAATAGCCGCAACAGGGATAACACGAGCAGCAGTGGCAGTAACGGGAGGGGCACGTGTGGCGCCAGGACCAGTGCCAGCATTAGCAGTAGCAGTAGGAGCGGAAGGAGCAGGAAGAGCTGCAACAGGAGCAGCACGAGCAGCAGTAGCGGTAACGGTAGGAAGAGCGCCGGTAAGCGCGCTAGCGCCTGCGCCAAGCGCGCCGGGCGCGCGAAGGCCGTAAGTGAGCGCGATGCCGTTGGGCGCGTTGCGCAGCGCATCGCGCTCCTGCGCAAGCTCTTGCACCTGATTGGTCAGCTGTACCACGTGGTTGATCAGCTCCGCGCGCGTCAACGAGTCGCCGCGACCCGCTTCGAGCGCCTGCGAGTGTGCGCACGTGAAAGAGGGAGCGGTGAATAGGCGGAAAAAGGGGAAGGGGGAAAGAAAAACCGGGGGAAGAGAGCGGAAAGGTTGAGCAACAAGGTGAAGTTATGTGCGAAAGCAACGCTCAACACGAGTGTTTGCGAGTCTGCATGGGAAAGAGAGGGGCAGGGGGAAGTGGGGGTTAAGCTGGGAGAAGCTAAATCCAGGCCTCGGTAAATTTTCTCTAACTTCTCCCATTGCACCTTGCTTGCTCCGCTGCCTCTCGCCCGCTTCGTACTCGTCACAAGCCCCTTGCCGGTCTGCGTTCAGAAAGCCCGGCTCCATGTTCCTCTACCCTAGCTCGCCTGTTATTACTCGATTAAGTCAAACCCTGACCTGCGTGTATGCGAATATCTGCCGTCGCATGTCCGCCGTCTCCCTTTCGCGCTCTCGAAGCATCGCTTCTAGACCCGCCACTCGTCCCGTCATCTCGCAGTTCTCCATCTCAACGGCTGCCAGCTTCCGTTCTAGCGCCTCTTCCTCCAAAGACGATCTCCGCCGTCCGTTTATGCTCCCATCTTCACCGTTCATTTCTCCCCCTTCTTCCCCCACTTCTGGCTCGCACGGGATTGGGTAACCCTCTGTCCCATGCCCGGAGCCGTCATGTGCGGTGGGTGGAACGGAGAAATGCGCGTCGACCCATTGGCCTACTTTCGACGCAGCTCGCGCGCGGTCCTCCGCAAGCGCGCGCTCTTCCGCAAACTGTTCCGCCGAGGTATCCGCGTGGGGTTCGAAATACGCGCGCGAGGGGTGGAAATGCTGCGGGTGGGTGGCTGTAACCGGCGTAATTGCCGCGGGGGGAGGAATCCACGCGCGATACGCGTGTGGCGAGTGCGCGACTACGCCTGCAGTGGGCGGCATGACTACAGATTTGACGCACTATCAGACTACACTCTGGATGCGTTTGGCCGGAACGCAGAATTGGCGAGGAATCAGGTGTGCAGTCCTAACTAGGTAGTGCCAGCGGAAGTAGTCGCTGCAATCATTGATGAACAACGTCAAGCTTCTAGGGTTAGCGACTAACGGGATGCCGACTGCTCTCACGCCTCATTCAGGCCAAAATAGGGTTGATAAGTCTAAAAAAATCCTTGGTGTCTGCCTGTTGCCCCTCAAAATCATCCTTGGTTATGCGGCTGAGGACATGTGAAGGGGAAGGCAAGCACAAGTCAAAACCGCCCCTGGAAAAAAAAAGTCAAGACTCGAATCACCGATGCGCCCCATGTGCATCTCTGTGGGATGCTTGCGCCAAGCCGCCTTTTTGGGGTGATGGACCAGGGCAGCTCAGTTGGCACATGGAACTCTTCCTGTGTTCGTCGGTACGATGTGCGGCTGAGATTACATATGACGAGGTACGAGCCCCACGTTCTTTCAACACGCATGATTGGGGTCGCACGAAACCTCCGTCACCAAAATGGAACTAGTTTCGCTATTGATAGGTTTCGCGGTTTCGAGTTACAAGTATTTTTCCAATGATAGAAATCCTGCTCTAAATCCATAAATGCGATAATAAAAAAGGTGGAATATTAGGAGATATTATTTGCAAACCGAATCAAAACAAGACAGTGTCACAACAGAAGAAGCCATATCGTGCAACACAGTGCTCATTATGGGAACAGGGGAGGGGGCTAAACATCTAAGCACGACCAACTCTCTGAGGTGGACAAGAGCCCTTGTTAGCACCTGTGACGGGATGGCAGCAGATCCTCTTGTCATGTCACTGCTCATGGCGTCTATTTCAAGCACAGCAGAGGAGAAATGGCGCCTGAGTAACAATTCAGCACTTAGCACAAAAGCTGCAATTCACTGAGCAACTGGCATTTCCAGATGTCGGATCAGCTCCTTGGGCATGTTTCGTGCCGGAATGTTCTCCCTGTAGCCCGCTTGAAACACCGCAGGCGATCTGTAACCCTGTGACGCCATGTTGATCGGGTTACCATGCAGGTCGATCGCCGCATGAGGGTTCCCGCCCGTCCACACTTTGACGCTCATCTTCCTCTCCGTTTCGAACAGCGACGCAATCATTTTCTTCATAGAGCGCACCGCGCCTACCTTCCTCGTACCTGCTCCTCCTCCGCCGCTACCGCCGCCACTGCCGCTTCCGCTGCTGCTGCTACGCGAGCTGATTCCCTGATTGCTCCTGCTGCTGCTAGCGATGCCTGTGATGTTCCCTTGGCATAACGCCGCGACCTCTGCTTCATTGCAATCCACAGCACCTACACCAACTGCAAGGCCGCCAGCTCGAGATTGGTTACCCTGTCGCGGAACTCTGTTCGTCGCTGTCTGTGCGCGAAATTCCTGCGAAAACGACCTGGCTTTCGCCAAGCTAGCAGGAAGTGGGGAAGTAGCCGCCGTGGTGAACGACGCAGGCTGCATATCTGCGACTGAATGCACTCGCGACGGCATGCGACTGCTGTAGTTGCTGCTATCGCCGTCGCACACGCTTAGAGCTGCTGCAGGCATTCGTCGCAGGGTCGTCGGATCCCTGTCGTTGCCGCAATCTGCGACGAAATAGCTGTTGCTGTCGTTACTCTGGAGCGAGACGTTGGACGGCTGTGATTGTAACCGGCGGTTGCTTGAAACGGGCTGGATGAGTTGGCCGACGGATGGGAGGTGTTCGTGTATCGCGAGGTGATTGAGAGCGGGGACGGAAACGGAGTGCTTCATACAGGCGGTTCGATTATTGCCGCCGCTCACTGTAGCGGGGATGGATGGCAGCGACTGATTTGACACGTAGCACACCTGATTCGGGTTAAGATCAATGCTTGTTCCATCTGAAGCGAGACTGTCGAGGGCAGGTACCGAAGCGGAGTGTTTCATCCCACCACGAAACCGCGACGTCCTTATAACGGGTACACCCGCAATCGAAACTTGCGAGGACTTGCGGCTGAACTTCGAAACCACCGGGGATAAAAGCCCAGAGGAATCATCGCGGCGCGGAGTCGAGGCGTTGGAGGAGGCGGAAACAGTAGGCGCATTGTGAAACTGCTCGGAGGTTTCGTCCACCTCCGGGATGGAAGATACGGAGATTAAGGCGGACGGCATGCCGTGAGTGAGGCAAATCTCTTCGATAGCGACTCCCGCCTGATCGAGAAGCTCGCACGAAGCTTCAAGCTCTGAAGATTGCGAGAGGCAGGAATGAGGAATGCAAGGGAAAGCGGGGGGGTGAGCAGCCACACGAGTCGGGGGGATTCGAAAAAGAGCAATAAGCAGGCGACAATGAAATAACATTCAGCTTACCAGTCCATTGGTTCTCGTGCGCGTGAGCGAGCGACTCTACGTACGCCGACACGTTGTCTTCGTACGAGTAACATATTTCGCCTTCGTCATCTTCTTCAAAGATAAGGGGATCGAACCCCCCCGGCGTCGCACATTGCTCTACGGCGGAGTCCGCGCTCCTGGGTGCAGGGCACCAGCTGGTGTAGCGCGTTGAGTGGAACTGGTTTTCTGCCATTGAAAGTTAATCGGTTGACGGAGGATGAAGGTGGTTGACAACGGTTGACGGAGTGGGCGCAGACGAGGGCTGCTCTCTGAAACGAATGCCTTGGCAACGATTTTGTATTCTCCTGAGGCAAAAGCCGTCACGCGGATTCGATAGAAAATGTGCGTTTCTTGTGAGCGCCGTGCTGACACGCAGCTGAAACTGAGGAGGGAGAGACGAAGCGTGGTCGAGACGAATGAGGGAAGAAGCGTCGCGGCTTGTATGAGTCGGTTGCTCTCGAGTT